GTTAGTTTGTGAATTAGATCATTTTGAGTGAAGAAACTTTTTTTATTGTGAATAAAAGTGATAAAAAAATTTAGTGTGTCGATCAAATATTTCTTTTTGAAGTGATAAAATACGGTTGAATCACAAACTTGGCTTGATGACGAGTTCCCGGACATTGTCCCAGGAAAATCAATCATTAAGGATTTGTTGTGCTTAGTTTAGACTTGGTGAAATGTACACGGAAAACGATGAAAGCAGTGGATGCCCAAAAAAGGGGTTTTCCTGACGAAAATATGCAAAAAGTTCACAAAATAACTTTGAATAACCGTAAAGTGAAGTCAAGATCGATATAGCAGGCATTCTATGTAAAGGTATCAACTAAACATGTATATTCACGAATATTTGGATATGAGAAAGCTATGTGCAATGTGGTAATTTTCGACCAAAAACAACGACGAGTTAATAATTCATCTCGAGTTTTGCTTCGAGATACGACAATGGATGAAACATGGCTCCATCCATCATTTCATTCCGAATTTCAATCGATAGTCATCCGAGTGGACTGCATTCGATGAACCCCCACCAAAGTGTGGAAAAGCGCAACAGTCGGCTGGCAAAGTTATGGTGTCTGTATTTTGGGTTGCTTATGGACTATTTTTATTGACTGACTTGAAAAGCAAGGACCATCAACAGCAACTGTCATATAGCCTTTTGGACCGTTTAAAGGAAGAAATCGCCAAAAAACGGCAGCTTTTGAAGAAAAAGGAGGTGTTGTTTCACCAAGACAAGTTAGCGGAAACGATGGCAAAATCCCTTAAATTGGGTTTCGAATTGTTTCCGCATTTACCGTGTCCTCCAGATCTGGCACTCAGCCATTATTTCCTGTTCTCAGGTTTCAAAAGAAAAAATGTTCATCGAATGAAAGGTGATCGTCTTAACTACGGCCTATTTTGAAGCAAAACTCAAATCATACTACAATAATGGAGAGTCAGGATATCACCCTTAAAGGGAACTACGTTGAATAAAAAAAAGCGATTTTTTGCCAAAAAATATGTCAGTCCGGCGACTTTCAATTGACATGTTACATAAACAGCCGAAACTCTTTATCATCCTAGAAATTATTTAAAAAAATCAATTCGGATATTTTGCCCCCATTTGGGCAGAAGATTACGATTGGAGCGATAGTCTGAATGTTGTGTTAAATATTTTAGAAGCAAGAAATGTTCTTATAGTACTATATATTGTCTTCTAATATATGTATACATAATTTGGTAAATTAAAGTAGGATTATTTTATTTAAGCATGTAATTGTGTCTTCAAATATAAAAAAATGATTTTTAATATTTACTTATATAGCCACTAATTTCGTACGTTATATATTTATTTCTGATTGCTCACCAATTCGAAAGATTAATTACTTTTTAAAGCGTGCTACACTTTCTGCAAATTTATATATTGTATATTTAGGGAGCAAATAATCTCAAATAATGATTTTCGAAATGCAATAGTAAAATTGAGTGAGATTCTGTTTCTAAAATACAAATAAAAGATTATCTTCTTCAGCGGAGAAAGCGGACCTAAGCTGAGTAGTACGGGTTACAACCGGTGAGAACTGTTTTCATAGTTGTTTTTGTTTCATAGTGTTTTTTATAAAAGTGACATTTCCTAGGCTGTACTAGTTTTGTTGCTTTATTAACCAAAAAAATCCAATAAAAACTGATTTATGCAAACATATCAATATGATTAGTTTAAGTTAAGTACAAATATAAATATGTGTATGTTTGTTAAAGCGGAAGATTTTTTTAGAAAAAAACGCGCAATCTATTTCCATGCAAATAAAAAATTAAATATTTGTTGGATTTAATTGCATATAGATAATACGCATACAAATACAAAGTTATATGGAGAATGTATGTTTATAAGTAGTTAAAGCAATAACATTCGTATTTCATATCAGCTGATCGTTATTGCGGTTGCTGCTATTTTATATATGTATGGTAAGTACATGGCTATATATGTATTTACATACACATACTATATGTAGGTATTTGCCCGAATATATACAGCATTTTAGAAAGCAAAAGTATCAAGGGAAAAAAATCATTGAAAAACGGAAATAAAATTCTGATTTGATTTGGAAAAGGTTAGTTTATTTCAGTAGTCATATTTGTTTATGTGTTTACCCTCCAAAGAGTTAGTAAAATCCGGTTTAAGTGGGTTTTTAGAACATTTAACTTACATATATATACCCTTGTGAAATCTAGTTTAGGCATAATTATTGTATTAGAAAAAAATAAAGTTAATGCATTTTTTGGTTTGTGCAAAATTCTCTTTACATGCATGATTAGCCGAAAATTGCATTTCTTATTGGATAGATCCTTCAAGGAAACCATGAATTGAATAGTTAGGCAGCGTTTTAAAGAAAAACTACACTTTAATTTAAATTAAAAAAATAATATAAAAACGTTAAACAGAATAATAAATAATTGTATATCTGTTTTCAATAAAAATGGAAATAAAGGAAATTTAAAAATATTAAAATTAAATTCAAATATCCAGACGTGGCTTAGAGATCCAAATTAGTCCGAAAATCGATTTTGAATTTTCGTGAAAAGGCAAGAAAAAGTATAAATAAAACGTTCGGCTGCACCGTAGCTAATATACCCTTCACAAGTGCATTTCTTTTAGTAACTATGTGTTCAGTTTGTATGGAAGCTATATGCTATAGTAATCCGATCTGAACAATTTTTTTGGAGATTATATTGTTACCTTAAGCAGTAATCTATGATCATACATCTTTCGGTTTGTATGGCAGCTACAGTAATCCAATCTGAACAATTTCTTCGGATATTACATTGTTGACTGAGAAAATGATCTATACCAAATTTTGTGAATATATCTTCTCAAATGTGACAGTTTGCCATACAAGAACTTGATTCCGATCATTCAGTTTGTATAGCAGCTATATGCTATAGTTAACCGATCTGAAAAATTTCTTCGGAGATTACATGTTTACCGTAGAAAATAACCTGTGCCAACTTTTGTGAAGATATATTGTCAAATGTGAAAATTTTCTATACAAGAACTTGATTTCGATCGTTCAGTTTGTATGGCAGCTATATGTTATAGTGGTCCGATATCGGCAGTTCCGACAAATGAGCAGCTTTTTGAAGAGAAAATGACGTTTGCAAAATTTCAAAACGATATCTTAAAAACTGGGGGACTAGTTTGTATATATACAGACGGACATGGCTAAATCGACTCAGCTTATACATATATATACTTTACAGGGTCTCCGACGCTTCCTTCTGGGTGTTACAAACTTCGTGATAAACTTAATATACCCTGTTCAGGGTATAAAAAACAGGGACTATGGAAGTTTTCAGATGATTCCATCTTCCAACTAACTTCCAGACAACTTTGACGAAGTCAGCACTTACAATAAGTAGTCGGAAGACTTTAAATAAAAGAGATATGTACGTAGTTAGGTTAATCTGTTAGGCCAATAAGCCACGCATAAACCATTTTGGTGCTTTGCGATACAAGATGGAGTTTATTTGCTAAGTCTAATGGTTGAATCTCCGAAGACATCGATCATACCGAGTCACTATAGCATACTCACTGATTAAAGTTCTTTAAAGAATATTTTGAAAGATATTACAGCTTCAGTGCAGCCGAAGTTAACTTTTTTCTTATTTTTGTTGATAACAGTTGCTCCACTATTGCTTCTCAACTAAAAAATGTTAGTTAATTCTTATGGGTGTCAAAGTATAATAAATTACTTAATTTATTTGATTATCATTCATTGATCATAATATCTTATTTGCGTTTGTTTACATTTCAAACCTGTTTGTTAGAATTATTCAAAGATTGTTTACATGCGATTAATATTCAATAGTATAAGCTTCACTTGCAGTTGCAAGTTGCTGAAAACAAGCGCAATTTATTACTATTGTGGACTTATGTATGTATGTACATTCATATGTACGTAGTTCTCACTGACTCAGTCGGTCTGTAATTTAGCTCTCTGTCAAACAATCACTTTTACATGCATTAACATTTATATTAAATTATTTAAATGCACACCTTCGCTTTTATCAATTATAAATTCTGAGATTTGCATACACGCGCTAACTCTATACCTAAGGGTGCCTTTTTTTTTAAGAGTTATAGAGTTTCCTAGAAGGAAACAACAAACAACAACAACAAACTTTTCTTGATCGTATCAACCAATGAAACTACCCTATGGCAACTCTCATGTAATTTCACTGACATTGAATTCGTGAACAGTTACACAAAAATATTAATAAATTCTGCAACTGTTCAAAAGTGTGGCTCACATCCAAAAACATCACCTTTTATATATAATGATTACTCCCGTATGCAATTCCTCAGAGAGCACCACAACTTCGAAGGTTGGGCTCAAACTTTCTGCTCCGAAGCTAGTATATCCTTCACAGATGCATTTTTATTGCATAAAAGTGTACAAAAATATCTTTATATCTACAAAATTACTTGTCGATATGTCAAAAACTGGCGGAAATGTTCAAATCTGCTCTGCTCGTTGATCAAGTTGAGGGTATAAAAATATCACCACTACGAGGTTCACATCTCAACTGTTAGCAGGAAAATGAACTAAAGTAACATAAACATGTATCACATTAAATTCTAACATTTCCTACAGGGTAGACATCCGCTTGTTCATATGTAACATATGAATATGTGTGTTTGATCTCTGAATATTCACACTTTATCTCCTCCGCTTTTTGTAATCACTGACGCCGGCAAAGGGAGAGCGCTTTTATTTTCATCTCAAATACTTGCACAAGTGTTCTGACCACTTGTTGTAACCACAATTACTCGTGCGCTTTGCATCAACGCTCTTTCTTTCGTTGCGCTCTTTTGCTCACCGCAACAACTCATTAAGCGCCTATAACTCTCTGGGAAAGTCAGTCGACCATACCATTGACATTCTCGACCACAACTCTACCACAATTTTACGCATTTCACTGGCGTCGTCGGTTTGTCAGCGATCGTGTACTTATTTGCATACTGATCTTTTGTCTGTTTGTCCACTTAGTGCGATACTAGCAATATACAGACGAACTTGCATAGATACGTAGCACGAGTAGAGTCGTCTTAGTTTTCCGTGAGTTTATTACTTAGTACTAAATCAGACGTCGGTCACAAAACGCTTCGGTGTTTGTGTTAATCTCGTGTTTGTATTGTGTTTTGTTTACGCGTTCATATGTGTGTATGTATGTTCAATACCGTCCGTTTGATTTACAAAACAAAAAGGAAAATAGAAAATAATTTAAAATTAAAATTTGATTTTTAAAAACATTTACAAGTTCAGATTCAGATTCGTTTGAGACGTGCGCGTGTACGGACGTTAATTTCGTGTCGATCGCAACAAAATTAATGAAATTAAATAACGAAGTGAATAAAGCGTTGTTTGGGAAATATTTAATATACCAAAGCGTTGGCGTGTAAATATTTAAGTGCAACAGGTTCGTGAAGAGTGTTTGTGTGTGTGTGCAAATAATTTTAATTACTGTTGGGGGTGTTTATTTGAATTATAATTAGAGGAAGTGAATGAATTTGAATAGTTCATCAAATAAACGAGCTAATTACATGTGATTGCAGATTGTGCGAGTGGTTCAAGTTAGTTTTAGTTAGTTTTAATTAGAGAAATGCAGTTATTTCAATATTTCCTTCATTAATTACTAACTGTTAAATACAATTAATTATTTTAATTAATTAATTACTGTAAATATACCGAAAATATGGATAATTGTCGCAGAGAACTACAAAAAAAAATAAAAAATCAATGCAAATAGAGCAAGTGGATAACTTTTTAATAATAATTTT